GACAGCTGGACACTGCCTTATGCCAGAGTAAGCTTTCACATACTTGTGATACATGCGAGCCACCCTAAAGTGTGATCCTCATAGAGAGTATACCGCAATTAACGGTCGTATTTCTTCTTTTTTTGTAAGTACAGTGCGCAGCAATATAAGCTGGCCTAGCGATGTTCATAACTGACCCGGGGGGGGGGGGGGGGGGGTACAAAAGGCACTCGGGGAGCCTCGTGTATGTTAAGCTAGTAAAGAGGTTGGAATAGAGTGCCACATTTTCTATTGCCGCAATGTGGCAGTAAGTTTTATAGCTGAGCGCTCTGAAGGCACACCATATGGCATTTTACTCCTTTCGGCTGGTACTGTTCAAGGCCCCATCATAATGTAAAGGACTCAACGTGTGACTTCTATATCAAAGCGGCTCGCCGAGACCACATCTGTATACTACTGCCTTTCTGCTGCAAGTTACCTCAATGTAGTTTCTTAGCATCGTGCAGATAACAAGACGGGTATGCTAAAAGTCAGTCGTAAGAAGGTTTGCAGCACAGTGGGACTAGAGGGTGTTAGAACGAGCTGTTAAAGAGACAGTGAGCTTGAACAAATTTCTGGTGGTACGTAGCATGTTTCGCTTGTGCGGTGGAAGTGTAGTTCACATTGAACGTCGGTGACAGTGCTCAACTAACGCTCAAACGTTTCAGGGAGTTCCAACCCCGCTACGTGGTGCGTTATGGCTCGTCACAGACCTCCCGTCAGTCTACAGCTTTCGTGGCCAAGATCTACAAACACCCCAACTGCCATCTTGTGAACATGGACCGTGCGGTAGATGACGTAGCAGTGATGGTTCTCAAGTCTCCACTGGCAGTGCCACCCGTCTGCCTGCCCAGCTTGGGGGCGCCGCTACCATCGCAAGTCACCATAGCTGGATGGGGCAACACCATACCGAGTTGAGTCAACGCCCCCCTATAGAGCAAGGCCGTAGTGCAAGATTTGCAACGTCACTTAGTGGGGGCCAGCGCGGGACACTGACCAGATAAGTGCAGCGTCAGTGTTTAGCTAAAGCTTGTCCTCACTGATTGAATATGGGTTCCAACCGAGCGACAGAGTTCACAATTTGTTTGCGATCTGCACTCCGCGCTGACCTCTGGTCAAGTGTGCCAATGTTCCTCGTTAAAGGGGTTGACTGACTTCAAGCCCCTTGTTGTAACGTAAAATGTTCCAAAGCAGGAGGACCACACACTATTGAAATGAACGGTCCTTGGAAGCGAATAGGGGTGCAATACTTGCTTGTAGCTCATGTTCCGCGTTTTCGCATAACGATGGTTGGCGGGACTTGCGAGAAGCGTTAATTTATTAAGAGGCATTTGCATGTCGAAAATGGTTAAAATCGCGCACAAAGAGACGAGGACAAACGAGGAAGGAACACAGAACACAGACACACAAACGAGGAAGGAACACAGAACACAGACAGGCGCGCCTGTCTGTGTTCTGTGTTCCTTCCTCGTTTGTCCTCGTCTCTTTGTGCGCGATTTTACCCATGTTCAACGTTTACCAACTCGCCCAACTTACAACTCTTCTGCATGTCGAAATTGAAGATCCAGATGAGTTAAGATGGAAGATTTCGCGGTTTGAATTAAACGCAAGTTTCTCTGTGCATAAAATGTTCCCTCTGGTAGGCTTATGGTATCGTACCTATTCCGAAGGCTGATCGCACTCTCCCCGGATAGATTAAAACTGCATTACACTCTTAATAGATTTCCGCTCGCCGGCTTGCTCGCAAGGCACGCAGTGGCCCATCACTCTAATCTGCACGGGAAATTAGCTGGTGATTCGCAAGAGCAATTTGACCACACTTTACGATCTTTGTTAGGACGATGAGGAAAGATTTCGGCAAATTTTTGCTGCCCAACGCATATTGCAGTTTTCTTTTTTATCTTTCTGGAAATTTAATATTTGTTCGGCGACCTGTGCGTCACTGTGCGTTTTGTGTAAAGGGGAAGAACGAACATTTCTTAGACTGCAGGCAACAGCAAGAAGAAAAAAAGAAAACAACGTGGTGCTAATTGTTCTTTGAAATAAGGAAAAGTGACTGAACAAATTTTCGGGAACGTTTCTCAGATGTGGACGACTGTTTTATTGGTTTATTTATTTTCCCTTTCTCGAATATACTTTCAGGTAGGCACGAGTGCAGTCTTAAGCTTGCAGTATCAGAAAGATAATTCGCAAATACGACGGCAGCAGCAGTTATGAATCCCTATAAGTTCGCGTGCTCAATTAATTTTAACCCACATTGTCAATGGCGAAACCTTCTAAGTTGCACACCTCTGTAGCTTGGTCACACCACGACATAAAAAAGTTCAAACAGTTTTCACACGTGTCAAAATTGAAGGGGCCTTCAGTGTATGCATAGAAACGACATTCTAGCTATTGCAAATATATTTTAAGACCTTGTGAAGTAGCGCAGGCACGACAATACAGTTCCCGCTTGTTTTCTCTTGTCTAATGCTTATCACATTTAAGAGAAAAGAACGTTTTGTTGGAGAGAAAGACTTCCTAGCTATCGCTCAGTCTCCCTGGCAGGCATCGACACTCTACAGCTTCCGGACCTGCTCAAGGAGGCCCAGATGCAAGTGATCACGGCACAAGAATGCAAGGAGGAACACTCGTACGCTGACCTTGAGCGCCAGATTTGCGCCAAACCGGCCTCAGGCTTTCCGGGAGTGGTCAGTTTGCATAGTCTTCCTTTCATAAAAGACTACGTATTCCAATTTCTAGAGGGTTCGCCAGCTTCAACCATTCTTGCTTTGACTCGCAGAACACTTACTCACATTAAGTAATAAACATTTCATAATCGTTAGGGCTGAACGGTTGATAGACTAACCTTCCGATTAATCGATAAATGCTCTAATCGTGTTTAAGTTTTTAACCAGTTAATCGGTTGAGTTTTAAGTTGAGAACCTCAGGGAGGACTTAAGGCGGATGTTTCGCTACTTGGTACACATTTTGTGTATTTTAGGAGGCAGCCCTCTTGTATTCCACGGCAATCGACTTCGCATTCTCTGGATTTTAATCCAGTGATTATCAATCAGGCTCATATATATATAAAATATTTAAGTTCTATTATGGTTTGTCTGTTTCTTTTTGTTTTTCCAGGCGATACAGCGTAAATATTTAAACGAGGCTTGTGTATTTCACCATAGATGGAATAGTAAGGAAGAGCAAAAAGAAATATGTAGTTTTGACGTTCTTTTTAGGTATTAAGCCTGGATGTCACCGCAACCGATTAAATTGATTTATTAATTGATTAGCTATAACGATTTATCGGGTTAAACTAGTTAATGGACGCCCAGCCTTAGTAAATATATACAAGGAAAAAACAAACAAAACTGGTGAAACATTGTAGGAAGAACTAGAGAAGGATAAGATTGGCAGCTGAAAGTTTGCTAAGAAACGTCGCTTTTGTGAGAGTAAAATAATCTGTTTAAGGGCGAGACTCTGGTTGTTTTCTGGTGACTCTTTTACAATTCTCTCTAACAGCTTAAGCTTCCTTTGAAAAGTCCGCGACCTTCAAACACGTTTGTAATGGTATAAGAATGGTGAATATGTTCAACCAACACACTCCTTGGAACCTGTTAATTTTTGTTTATGTGGCTGGGCTCTGCGGTAACTTGAAAGCGTGCTTAAGTGGTGAGTTACACCCACTAAAATTTTAGAGTGCTACGTTGACTCGATTGAAGAACGTCTCCATGTTCTGATAAAAGGCGACCAGCTCAAAAATCAGGACGGTTGTTCTCCTAATTTGTAGAAATGAATAAAGTCTTGGAACTAAAACAAGTAAAATACATATAAAGCATACTTCAAAGAATCAATATTTTGGCGTTTATTTTGCTTTATGTTTATCTTTATTTTTTTGCCAACTCAATTAATAAAAAAAAGTCATAAAGAAAACGCCCATTTACCTGTTGGTTTGCCGGGAGGACCCGGCATATGATGATACATTCAAAACAGTGTTAGGGACTACATTCCCTTCTGACGGCCATTTTTTCTTTAGTGATAAAAGTTTTGTGGAAAGCGTCAAATCAAAACTATAAAAAAAACTATATTCGTTAAATGCATCCGTTTCACTCAATGCCGCAGTTTCTGTTGAGAAAAACGAAAATCACTGATCCACAAAAAAACATAATATCCAATAGAGTATACTTTTAGATGCCATATAAGCTGCTTAAAGTTTATGCTTTAGAGCCCTAATACCTTATATGACATACACCTTTAAGGCTTGATAGTATAGCTCTGAAGGTATACCCACGATTCATTATTAAAATACGGCTATGTTGGAACGCAATATACGTTAAATGAAATCGCGGTTTACGCTTACTCATTAGTCACTCGAAATTGTGCACTGCGTATCTCCTGCGCCCAAGAAAACGATCACGTGGCTATGACCTGGTAACTCATAACTAGTCAGCTCTTAGCGTTCACTACATATATTATACCGGTTGTCCAAAATAGTGGCCAGGCTCTTCAAATCGACCGCCAAATTCGGTTTCTTAACCTATCGCGCTACGATTTTGTGCAGCGTTACCCACATATGGTGCTTTTTTTTTAATTTGCAAAGTGCAAACTTACCTGAGGAAAAAGGAAAGAAAGAAAAAATCTTAGCACCTATGAAAACGCAGCGAAGCCGCCGGTCTTCAAAACCATAGGGCGCCCTATTGTTTGAAGATCGGCGGCTTCGCTGAGTTTCCATATGAATTAAGCCTTTTTCTTTCTTTACTTTTTCTTCAGTTAAGTTCGCTCTTTGCAAATTTTACAAAAAAAAAAAAATAAAATAAATAAAATGCACCATCTGTGGGCATCGCTGCACAAAATCGTAGCGCGAGAGGTTAAGAAACTGAATTTTGCGGTCAATTTAAAGAGGCTGGCCGCTATTTGAAACACCCAATATATACGGTGAAGTGCATCTGGTACCTAACGCTAAACTCAGACCGCAGCCAAGCCTACTCTCCGAGTCTTACCTAGAAAGACGACGCAGAAGCTTGCCACAAGCAGCAGAACCGTACGACCCTCCATCTTCAGAAACGAATTGGGTCTGGGAAAAGAACGTGGCTTATGGCGCGGATGTAACCGAGAACAGAGCTTCCTAAAACGCCGATGTATGTGCTTATAAAGCAGGAGATAACTTTTTTTTTCTTTTTGTTCTTTTACAGTTGTGTCACTCTTCACAACTCTTTGTGTTTTGCTTGTTTTTTTAGATTTTTTGGGTTTTTTTTTTTTTTTTTTTTTGCGGTGACTCTCGTCTCTTCAAACTAGTTGCCGATAGCATTTATCGAAACCATGAGTCAAGAAGTGGAGTTATCTTACGGCACGTGTAGATACTGACTGCCTCGTAAGACTGGGGAACCCTCGAGAATCTTTTTTTTTTTTTTAGATTGAATACATTTTTGGAGCGGTAGTTTTAGTAATAAGTGACTTCAAAAGCGCGAAACGGAAAAGAGGAACGCTCTATTTCCATTAAATTACGTGTGTCATGTTTAGTTGTTGTTTTCTGTGTTACACTAACTCACGTGTTGCATAGCAATCCTGAATTGAACATTAGTTAAAGTACTCCGCTGTCAGGACGGCTGCTTTGGGGTAACCCAGTGAAGTTTGTAGGTTGTCTGTTACCTTTTTTGTGAGGAGATGCTTTTGCAACCATCGGAGGCGTTTGAGGTATGTATATACAGGCAACATTATGAACTATATAGCAGGAGCTGTGCTTGAGACATTGTGTGCGGTTTCCGTGTTTCTTCAACATTCCCGGTGTCAGGTTTATTATAGAGAGGTCGCTTTATTCTATCCGAAATTTAAAAATTAAGAGGAAAGCACTAATTGGAGCGTGTTGCATGCCGGCTTATTCATTCAGTAGCACCGATTGGTCGGGATGATTCAATTAGCAGGAATCACGAAACAAAACTTAAAAAAAAAAAAAACTTCACCCACAGAAATACTGCTCGTTAGAGGAAGCTGCTGTGTGCCTCTCCATCCGTCGATAGCTCAGTTGGTAGAGCGGTGGACTGTAGAAGTGAAGTGCCGTTATCCATAGGTCGCTGGTTCGAATCCGGCTCGACGGAGCTTCTTTTTGTGTTCGTCAATTTTTGTTTTTTCGGCGGTAGTGCCTGTGTTAGCAAGAAGTCATTAAAAGCACTGTCAAAGCTTTTTCTCTTTTTATGAGTTTGGGCTTTCTTGGTAAATACTTGTTTTTATGTTCATCTCTGATTTGCGATGGCTGGCATGCATTGTACACGCTTGCCGGTCAAATGTGGTTCATAAAAAAAGGAGCCTGTAAGTTGTGGGCCGTTTGCGACCCCACTGCGACCCGCGTGTTTACAGTTTTAGTCTAATGAATATTGAGTCGATGTTCCCATTTTGACCCTAGACACTAGAGTTAAACGCTTCATGTGCAGTTTTTGCTTACAAGTGCTTGTTCTCCGGAAAGATAATTAGTGAGGAACTACTCTTCATCATTACCGCACTTTTACACAAACGGACAGTTGACTTGCGTTCGTTGTCAAAACATAGAATAGAAGGGTTATTTCTTGGCCATTGATGATCTGCCTACTCCAGGTCGCAGGAAGTTGAGCGCGTGAAGTCAAAATCTTTTAATTTTTAAGGAAGTTGTTAATTCATATAATTCCTTCAGGCAGGGGTCCCAAAGTTTTCAAAAAACAAACAAAACTAGCAAGGGATTTAAGAAAACCCTTGCTAATGAAGGTTTGGTTGGTGATCAAAAGTCAACAAAAGTTAATCAAAAGTTTATCAAAGGAAGAACACTGTAAATAAACAAGAACAAAATTACACCAAGTAAAGGGGCAACTGAAGTACATTCGCGATAAAAAATATAAAACCGATTAAAAAGCTATAAAACAAGATAAACCCCAAAACAGTCAAAACAGAGAAAGGAACGTTTTCCCACCTTCAGTCTTCACATCGGAACTGTGTGCGCGGCACACCACGGTCCTGGCACCGTTACGAGACCAAGAAGGGTGGTCTGCTCAAACACTACCTTATTGGGCCGAATGTAATGGATTTTCTACGTTATCTAAGGGGGTCAGTGCGGGGCACAAGTTGGACACCAGTGTGTGTCATTGTCTCGGCTAAAGCTCGTGTTCGCAGTGATTAAGCTCAAGCCCCAGTCGAGCGCTGACGCAGCTCTCGCTTCCAATCTGCTCCATGAGTTGGCCTCCGGTTGGTGACGTCGAAACTTCTGGCACTATTGTACTCGTTGTCTCATCAAGAAAGGGGGGATCGATGGCCGAGTGGGCTAGCGCACACCAGCTTGGAGCACGTGGAGCGAAAGCTCGTGCTGCAGAACCCAGGGATCCTAAATTCAATCCCCACCCCTGCCCGATTCGATCTGGATATACATCGTACCGTGGTGCGGTCGTGTATCACTACTGCGTGATGCACGTTAAAGACCCCAGGCTACCGGTTGTACTGCACTGGCTATATTGCTCATCTACAGCTGGGAGACTCGTCGCCCGTTGGTGCAGACCAAGTTCTAGGCTGTATAAACATACACACAACCCAATTTCTCATCAAGAAAAAATTGTATGGCCAATTGCTAGGCAATCGTGTTGCACACAGAAAACGTTCTAGCATCACGTGACATGAGGTCACATGACGTCAATTTCCCCGAAAAAATTTAGCAAGGAAACTTAAATTGTGTATAGGTCACGTGCCATGAGGTCATGTGACAGTAATTTCCCGCCTAAATTTAGCCGGAAACTGTATCGGCGATGAAGACACGTGACGCCAATTTTCCTACTAAATCTTGCTAAGAAACTGTCTTCGTGTAAGGCCACGTGGTACTAAGTCATGTGACGCCAATTTTTCTGCTAAATATAGCGGGAAAATTGAATTGGTGTTGAGGTCACGTGATGTCAATTTTCCAGCTAAATCTAGCGGGGAAGTTTAAGTTATGTGACGTCACAGGCCACGGCTTCCCGAAATCCGGAGCAACTAGCCAAAGAACGTTTCACGTCAAAATGACATTTTGCGCATTAATAATGCGCTGCGCAAAGTAGTTCTTACAAGATTTGAGTGTTGAAGGAAGAAACGACGCTTTCAACGTTTCAAAGGTATACGCCTTGTTAACGTAACATTAAGCTAATCTAAGGTGTACCCAAACATATTTGAATTCAACTGACGATGGTGGAAATTAGTAACCTTCCGCAAGGAGCCGGACTTTTTTTTGTTACTCTGGTCCTTAATAAGGTGCGTACGAGTATAGTCGTTATACAAGCAGCCGCACTTTGAGATCTAGTCTGGACACCGTGAATGGAAAGCGCTTTGTTTGAGTGCCAGTCTGGAAACTATGGGTACGCCTCAGTAATACTTGACGATCAGACGATCTATACGCACACCAGCAGGAAGATGGATTGCAAACGTCTATCCGATTCGCCCCTGACAGCTTTTTTTTCCTGGCTCGTTTAGGTATACTAGGATGCAGCAGTGCGGTTATAGTTCACTTTAAGTGCGATGGCAGCCAACGCTAGATCCGCACGAGCCACTCAAGCAGCACCAAAAGTGCATCGTCACGGCGCTCGACGCCTTTGTGCATTTGCTATCAAGGAAACCAACCGCGCAGAGTGAAGGTGCCGCGATTCTGCGCCTTTAATTTTAACCTTTAACGGGACACGTTCCTTGGTAAGCTGCTCCGGATTTCTCGAAGCCTCGTCTCGTGAAGCCGCGTGGCCCGAGACGTCAGAAGATTTCAGTTTCCCCGCTAGATTTAGCGGAAAATCGATGCGATGATGCTGTGTTTCGAGGTTTGTGTTGCTCCGTTGTGCCCCTTTGTTCCTTTTCTCCTGCGTTTATTTTCGCCAAATTGACATCACGTGACCTCAACGCCAATTCTGTATCCCCCGCCAAATTCAGTGGGGTGGCCGATGCGCAAATTTGGTTTTCCCGCTAAGTGTAGCGGGGAAATTGACATCACGTGACCAGATGTCACGTGTTGGTGGTACGTTTCACGTACGCAACAAATTGAGTATCAATGCGCCGTACTTTTTTTTGCTGTGGGTGATTGATTGGTTTCGCCGCGATAGCAAAGCCACGGAAACAATGTGCGCCATGACGATGCACTTTTGGCGCTGTCTGATTGAATCCATCTGATCGTAGCGTCGGCTGTGGTAGGAGTGAAGCGGAGCATAGTTCGTAACAATTTCCTCGACAAGGATTTCGATCTTTCAAATACAAATAACTCGAAGATCGTTTTATTCAGATAAACCTCCAGGAGGATGGGTTCAAGGCAACTCATATCGCCCTACTAGGTCAATTCAACAACACAGCAGCAAACAAAACAAAAAAGAAGAAAGTTTCAACGTTGTTAAAATAAATTGTAAGCGATGTAAAATGCAATATTGTGTCGCTATATGTTCTATATTAAATTTCATAAAATGTAATTTAATATAGAGCGAAATAATATAATTATACAAACTAATACACTATATACAGACACTTTTCAAGCATGACAAAGTTATTTCCATACGTTATACTACAGCTAAACATACATGTTTTTGAAATGGTTCTAAATGTGTGTATTCTTTTTGAGCTATGAATAACTGACAATAGCTCTGGGTTGGTGGTTAATGGCTGTGAAATTTGAGGAGAAATTTTCTTACCATTGGTGGTAAAGGATGTTGCGTAATATACATCACTTGGTATATTTATAACAGATCCGTTGAGGATCTTTTTTTTTTTTTTTCGTGGAACAAATATTGTTATTTGTTTTTGCGTGAGTGATTGTTCTACTATATGAAGACAGTTCCGAATAAAATACGGAGGTCGATACTGAACATCGGCGACTGATCGTACGGTTCGTTTCTGCAGAATTTGGAGCTGGTACGTTAGGGACTTTTCTTTCTTAAATAGTATGCGTGTAAATCTTCGGCAGGGTGATTCCGGGGGTCCCCTGATGACTCGAGGTACGAGCGGAGAGTGGACCCTGGTGGGGGTCGTGTCGTGGGGCAACGAGACCAGGTTTCGGTCATCTCCCTTCGTCTTCTCGGACGTGTCGGCGCTTCTTTCCTGGATACAAGACGTGGTCTCGCTGCCCGCATAGGACTGCCATTCATCGACATGGAAAATAAACGCGTTCCGCGTTCTCTTTTTAAACCATGGAATACTTTTGAATGCATACCTCTCATCCCAAAATTTTGTCCACTCGCCCGTCTGCGCATGTTCTCGCTAAATGTAGCAAGAAAATTGTTAAAAAATGTAAGTTTTTCTTATCTCCCGTAATGTATTTTAAACAAATTATAAATCATCGCTCCCTAAAGACTGTATTCCATCTTGCATGATAGGTTTCTAAAGATAAAGGGCTGCGGTCAATTGTCACAAAGCATCGCTGTCTGACTGAAAGGCTTCGGCTTTGTCCGGCCACCTTTGCTTTCTCGTACTGCGCTTGTTTCGCACTCTATACTCTTGGGCCATTTCGCTAAACATTGCAAACAGACAAATATTGCGAAAGACGAGAACGAGTATAGAAAAAATGAACAGGACCCGCTAAGTATACTCGTCGTCTTTTGTGCGTTCGCTATCATCGAAACACTGGAGAAAAAAATCGCAGGTTCGCTACGCATTTGCTGTGCGTGTGCGGTTGGGAGATGCGATCTAGGCACTTAGCCAGGGGGGGGGGGGGGGGGGGGGAAGGGGGGGCATGGGGTCCCCCCCCCCCTTTCCGAAATCTTCCATTTTGCTGGGGCCTCCTCTCTCCTTTTCCACCTCCCCCCGAAACAAAATCCTCTTTACGTGCCTGCAATGATCGTTGGCTTAATGGCAGTTAAGAGCGTTTGAGTAATTAGGGGATTAGTGTGCTCCGCCAAACTTCCCACGACATTGTTTATTTTTTTCAATCTCTCTCTGTAAGTATGATCAGTTTGATATTTATGTGCTACCCCTCAGAGAACCTTCAATTAAGATATCCCATGGAAGATTTTGATTTTGGTGCTCTATGAAACCTTAGACAGCAGAGGCGGCAGATTTATGGAGACTGCAAACACGGGGTAATACAGGGCTTGCACTGACTTCGGTTCAGCTGCCATTGGTGTCCAAGTGCTGCTGCGGGCGCACCTTCTGCTACACGCATTTGGCAGAACCGAAATTGTTTTTCATCTCTCAGTGCAAATACTAATGGCCACCAGCA